AAAACAATGTATAATAGATGAAAATTACTGCTCATTGAAATGATTAGTCAGCATTGAGAACTGAGTATATTCTTTTTTCAGTGGAAAAATTATTTGTCAAACCAGTGAAAAAGGTAATAAAAATTACAATGGTATATTTCGGTAAATGAAAACTGCTGGAAAATAAAACGTATATGAAAACGAAAACAACTCCAAACACATTTTTAAGAATCGAGTAATTATAAATTAAATAGAATGGCAATCGCATTAAAGAGGTTATATGTCCAAAGAAATTGAATATCTATTATTGGAAATAAAAGAAAAGAATCAAATATGTTAAAACAAAGATGATCAAAAGAAGAATCCCTGGAAATTCCAAATTCTGATTAATCCGACGTTATCAGGTTTGTTTCATTTGTTTAATTAGCATTTGGCTGAGAGTTTTAAAGAGTTAGACCAGGCTTCGAATCAGACGAGAATCGATTTATCATGAAAGTGATTTAAATATTATCATCCCGGGGAAGTGACAACTTTGGAAAGTTTGAACCTTCCTGAAAAACCATAGCTCAGGTTACACAAGCATTCTGAGTGTAATTGTGTAAACGGAACAATTACGTTGATTGTTGTGCGAGCCCGACCGAGGGCTTGGCTTTACTGGGCATGTTCAAGGTACTGATCACGCCAAATGATTCACTCTCTCCTATAAACTGTAACTAAGGCCCGCTAAGTATAGTTGCAGTATCAGCAAAGGCGTCTGCAACAGGGATTCGGCAGACATTTTAGCGGAGAAACATACATGAATACGAGGGGCCAGCCGATATGTCTCTGGAATGAATAAATGTTAATCACGACATTGTAAAGCTTAGAATACAATTCATAAAATTAGGCACAAAATTGACGTGTAATGAATACAAATATAGGCATGGCTGGGTTGAATATATGTTATAGTGTGAACTGTGGAAATGGCAATGATTTAAAACAACTACCCTATAGTTTAAGAACAAATTCATTTGAAAGTGCAAGATTAAATAGATATATCGCTGTTTGCGTATGGATGAAGACAGTGCGACGAGAATCTGATATCTATATACATGTAAAGAGAAAGATGTAAAAATCAATTCAAACAATCATATATCAATTTTATAGGTTCGTAATAAGAGCTTAAAATGTGCCGTTAAGCTTTCTTATGCTGTCTTACATGTTGCCTTCATCAAGACATGTTGTGGGGTCTGTATTTCCACACATGTCGAGTTTGGGTGATGAGCGACATCGATATTGTGTATGAAATTCTTGTGTTTCAGGAATTTCGAAAGGTAGGATTAAGCTGAAACTAATTGCTTCAACGTTGATCGTGATCTGGTTGACGGGAAGATACTTTAGAAATTAGAAATTTTTGTTGGCTATCATTGTTCGTCTATTTTGATTGTCACATGTTCACGTATTTTTCAGTGGTACCAGCGGTTTGTTCTCCAAGAGGACACACGCGACATGGGTTTAGTGATTAACATCTCGGGGTAGGATATGGGATATCTTCTTTATGGGTTCTGTTTAACAAAAGTGTAATTACTTTTTCTCATCCGACGTAATATTTTTTGATTACAGAAATATATCACATATGCAGAACAGTGTGTACGCAAGCACGCAAATAATAATAATAATAATAATAAAAAATACAGCAAGAACAATATTTCTTACAACAACTATCAAAATACAAGGAAATCTTAAAAAAATATAGAGGACATCAGTATTTCCAGTTGTGGTTGGAGCTCTCCGATTGATGGGAAAGATTTCCAACAGAGACATTAAAGGGATTCCTGGTAGCCCATTCCTTAAAGAAATAAAAATAATTGAACTCATAAGTATAGCTTATACATTAGGAAGAGCTTCATCTATGTAAAATATGTGTGATCTTAGATTTTTCTTCGTTTTTTATTTTGTTCTTTCTTTTTCTGGGCTAAGACCTCTGGTTTGGACGCGGAAGGATATATATATATATATATATATATATATATATATATATATATAACATAAATCAAATGAAATAATAATAATTATTATTATTATTATCGTATATATTGTGAGGATAAAAATACAAAAAACAAAATAAAATTCTGAGACATGATAAAGGAAATGGGCACCTGGTTCTTGTGTAAATTGAGATCCATGGGACCAGGCTAGAAAAAAAAGTAAATTTATGAATATGCACAGGATTATCTAGTCTTAATTATTCCTTTATGTCATACTGTCCGCAAGAAAACAAAAATTGCATTACAATACTAAGAAAATAAAAGACACAGAATCATTGCGATAGTCGATCGAAACTGTTCAACAGGAAATGAAATCCGGGGGTTAGCGAAAGAAAATCATAAGAACAAAAAAATTTAAAAACAATAACAATCTAGGAACGAATTAAATGAAAACAGAAAATATAATGGACGAAATAACAAGGACAGTGGTTCTTAAAAGATATCTGGAGAAAGAAAAATAAAAGGGGATGATGAGATAAAGTAATTCTGAATAAACTGTATTGGGATAAATTTATCAACGTCTCGAAAAAGAAACAATATATGTCGCCTCTACACTGAAGGAGATTAGAAGATATATCATCTACTCGGTGTTGGAGAAGAATGGCAACATAGAGTAACGTAAGGTATACCATAGGGAAAAGGGAAACGGTATGATTCCAACAAAGGAGGCAAATGGTATCAGAATATATCAGAATGTGCCCGGGAAAATAAAATATCGTTAAAACTGACCTTAAATTGTTGACCGAATATCGAATGAAGCATGGAGATTATAATATTCTCTAAAGAAAATTATAGTTTGCTCAATTTCGACCCACGCGAGATTTAATATAAGTCAAAATGAATGTATATATATATATATATATATATATATATATATATATATATATGTGTGTGTGTGTGTGTGTGTGTGTACATATATGCATATATATGCAATAATATATATATATATATATATATATATATATATATATGTGTGTGTGTGTGTGTGTGTGTATGTTTTCCTAGTTTTGTGTGTGTGTGTATGTTTGTTTGTTTGTGTGTGTGTGTGTGTTTGTTTGTGTGTGTGTGTGTGTGTATGTGTGTGTGTGTGTGTGTGTGTGTGTGTGTGTGTGTGCGCGTGTTATTTATATATTATATATGCGCGGTATTTATTGAAAGGCGATCAATATTAATTTTAGAGCTAACATGTATTTGATGTATGTTTGTGGCCCTGGGTTTCACGCACTTTGCGATCGTCAGACAAACTGATTAATCGTGAAATTTTGAATCTATTTATGTTTGGGTATTTTCGTTTTGGGCTTGTAGTGGGAGGAAAAATTATCCTCTGTTGTCCTCCTTGTGTCCTCGTATACACACAAACCGACCTCCCGACTCACCACTTGGGAACAGAATTCGCCACAGAATTCCATACCGAAAAACAATTGCCTATGTATACAATCAATGACACGCGTATAAATATCTGCTCCCAGTAGCACACTGTTCATATATGTCTATGTTTTTAATGAACTGCAATACGTACATATGCATGTCAGTGTGTCTGCGTGTGTATGAGCATCCTCCCGAGGAGGACACAGAGGATAATTTTTCCTCGCACAACGAAAATACACAAACATAAATAGTTTCAAAATTAATCAGTTTGTCTGACGATCGCAAAGGACGTGACACCCGGGGTCATAAACTCACCTCAACGCGCGTGCGCGCGCACGCACACACACACACACACACACACACACAATATATATATATATATATATATATGTGTGTGTGTGTGTGTGTACACACACACACACACAAACAAACAAACAAACACATATATAAATGTGTGTGTGAGTGTGTGTGTTAGCCCATGTGTACACACACACACACACACACACACATATATATATATATATATATATATATATATATATATATATATATATTTGAAAAAATGCGATTCTACAGAATATATAGATATACATTGTTGAGAGCTCTTTCTGCTAAAACATCAGAAGTAGAAGATGTTGGCAATGTTAACTGACAATTGGCCCTTTAGGAGTAAGTATGTAATGAGGAGGAAAAAATAACAACGACTAAAATTAGAATTTATTTGTGAAATATTCGTTAATAAAACGAGGCGGAATGAAAAGACAAAAAGGTGGAATGAATATACGAATAAAAACTAAATGTTTCCAGATGAGTGTAAAACAGACAAATGATTACCCATCAAACCTCCTAAATGACAGAGAGAACGAATAAATATGCTGTTTCTCTTTACACAGAGACGGTTGATATCATTTTATATGGACCGCTTCATGTAAACGCTAATTTTAAGCGGTGCGGACAGAGTGAATGACTGCACAATTCAAATAATGCAACAGCTGTTAACCGATGCACAGACTGAGTTTCTCGGAAATTACTATCAGAAGAACTAACAGAAATGTTTTGACCAATTCGGGTTTCCAGTCGCTGATTGTTTCCTCCTATATATTCAGCTTCACACTGACATTTAAATGTGCAGAGAATAGAACTATTTTAAACGTAAGACAAACCAGATAGATATATAGATAGATAAAAGGCTCTTGATAGGTTGCCTAGGACGCTATGTAGTTTGAAGTATAGAATCGTACAGATAACAGGAAGCAAAAAATAATAGAATCGTGATTATATAAATTTACATTTAATCATGAGAGTTCAAATCTGGTAAATTAAAACGTTTGAATTATGGAGGAGCGATGATATTCATTATGAACAGAAAGCTTGGAACATTGTAAAGCGATTAGAAGTGGAAATAATTTGAACTGAATTATAGTTTCAATCAAAATCACCCCCAAATACTAAGAAAAGAGTATGTGGAAGGGAGGATAGAATTCGTGTCTTTGATTGTCGTATATGAGTGCATTTTACTTTTGCTGTTTGCTGGCATTGCTTGCTGTTATTCCTTGTATGAATTATCTTTAAATTCCATTCATAATCATTATTTTATTTTTCCTTCGTCCTTTCTTCCGTCTTTCTATGTTTTTTTTCTTCATGTATTTATTTCTGTATGTGATTTATTTTTTTCGATTTCTTAGTTTTTTTTTTCTTTCTTACTTTCCTTTGTCTTCTCTATTTTTTCTCTTGCTTTCCTTGTTAGTTTTTTTTTCTTCTCATCTATTTTCTTTTATGTTTTTTTTTATTTATACTTACTTGTTTCATCTTATTTTTTCGTTTCTTTTTTTTATTTGGCTGCTATTTTTCTTTCGTTTTTTCTGTTCTTTTTCTTTCTTGCCTTCTATTTTTCTTTTGTTTCCGTTACTTTTCCTTGTATTCTAATTTTCTTACGTTTCTTAGCCTTTGTTATGCCATCGGTTTCTTTCTTTCTTCTTTTGTAGTATCTATTTTCTTTTTTATCTTTATTGTTAGTTTATTTTCTTTCGTTCAATTTATTTCGTTTAGTATCATTTAGTTTTCTATATTTTTCTTATTTTTCTTCTTCTTCTCATCTTCGTTTCTTCTTCTTCTTCTTCTTCTTCTTCTTCTTCTTCTTATTATTATTATTATTTCTCCGAGCTGATTGTCAGCCTGTAATTATATCTTGCACCAAATTCGAACTTGATCTCATAATGCGTAAATTCGGCGATTATACAATAATCGCTCGGAAGCAATTATATATATATATATATATATATATATATATATATATATATATATATATATATATATATATATATATTATTTATTATATTTTTCATGTTGATTTTAATGCCAAATCCTTGGCACTTTCAAGATGCCAAATGGGGCCAATCGATCGAAAAAACCCGAAATTAGAAAATATCAACTCGGGGGAATTTTCTAATAACTTATTTCAAATGCATCACTTTCTTCTATATTTCCCTAGTATCCTTGTTTTCACCTGCTTTACGTGCCTTCAGTCAGTCCTGTACGTATCAAAATTTATGTACCATACAAATTTCAATTTACTTCTGATAAGTGTTTGTTTTCTGATGATTTAGTTATTTATTTTCTGATGATGTAACGTTACTAGCTTGATTTTTGCAGGTATTGAATTTTTTTTTGGTAATTATTGTAATTTTATGAACAGAAAAAAATTATCACCTTTGACAGTTTTGTTATTTTGAATATCAATATTAAACGAATAGGCGGTATGGCATTTTTACGTTTTCTGAACGTTTCATATTAAATATTGATAGCATGAAATTAATTATAACATAGAGGTTACCTCTCCCCGAAACATCCATTTAATGTAACGATTATCAGCGCAGAAACTGGATTCGGCGGTACGAGTTTAATTTCTGGGATATTCATTCACGCTCATTTCTCCGAAAATCTTCATGGGAAAGGCAAGAATTCCTCTCTTTTTCTTCTCCTACAGTTAAAATTTAACTAGCAGGTTAGGCTGGAATCGTTATAATCGAGTTTTCTTCAGTCTCAAAGGTTTTAATTGACAATTTACAAGTAATAAAATGGAGTCTTGGAGAGACATGATTGCTTATATTCTGAAGGTCATGGTATTCAAATAAATGTATGTGCTGTCATCTCTTTGCACAAGGTCGTTAGGTAGTTTTTGCGTTGTTTTCATCTGCCTCACTTGCCTTCAATCAGTCCTGTGTTTATTAAATGTATGTGCTATACAAATTTCAACTGTATATCTCTGATAAGTATTTATTTTTTAATCCTTTCAACCTACGTAAGACGAGAATCTTACTAATATACAAGGTTTACAATGAAAATGAAAGAGACGAATGAAAACGTGGAGGACTGAGAAAAAGACAGAAGATGGCGATAGATGTAGCCTTTAAATGTCTGAAAATTTTATGTATTTGGGATGCAAATAAACGGAATGGAGAGAACAGAAAATGTTGGAGTAGAAGTGTAGGTTTTATTTAGCTATTTAAAAATCCAGTTGTGTAGCTTGAATTCATGTAGTCCGAGAACAACATAAAAAAGTTCATCAGAGTAGTTGCTGTGAAAATACTTGTAGAAACGAGAGAATCAAGCCACATTACGTCGGTGAGAAAGTGACTGAACTCAAGATGTCTAACCAGGCTCGTTTACATTACAGATTCTTCTTTGTTTTTTGTAAAGAATTGCGAGATGTACAGCAGGACAACAAGACCAGTTACAGCAACAGTGTTTTATGCACAAACGTATATGTGCAAGATGTATTCTGACCTTAGAAAACTTCTTGCACGACACACTGACCCATTTGTCCTTGTAGTAAATACAGCTATTTATTTGATGTAGTCGTCCCACTTCATGTCAGTAGAAAACGTGAGATGAAGATGGCGCAGTGTGTTGCTCTCTAGGAGTCTAGCATCAGCCATGCTGATAGCAGGCAGAAAAGAAGTAACCTTTTCGTTCTCTTTTTTCTAAAAATTAGTCACTGATCACATACACTTCTGAAAATCTTTCCTAAATTTCTTAAGTCATTTCTGAACGTAAGGGACGAAGTAACATGACATTCAACATATTAAAACTGTATCCCCTCAACTGTTACGTTTCTATCATTAGCTCTGTACCTGTTTCGTATTTCAAAACGAGGCTGAATTTCGTCTTTTCTTTTGTTCACTATATCTTGATCGAACTATCTATGACGCATACGGATAAATATGAAATTCCTTTATAATTCCAAATATTAAATATTATTTCTTCGACTATGAATTTTTGATAAGTACAACTTTTGCGATCCTTGTACTGTTCTGAAACTCTAAATTAAAACTATAAAATTATCATTGTGGAACCCCATAAAAATTGTATATACATTCAATAGATTTAAGTAATGTCACTAAACATATAGAATTGACTCAATTTTGTGCCAAAAGTAGGCTCCAGATTTGAACTAATTAGCATTTATTAACCAATCAGTGATATTATCTCAAACGTTCTTAAGGCTTTGAAATTTCAGACAACTATGTTTGTTGTCTGCTACGAAAGTTGATTAGTTTTTCAAATAGAAAAAAAATTGTTTTGTTTTTCAAATAGAAAAAATAACTTCGTGTGAATCCTTTGCGTTATTTGACAGAAGCAAAACTACAACTCAGATCTCTGTTAAAACGTTAAACACGGATGAGAAGAAATATTCTTTTTTCATGGTATTACTTTCCAGCGAAAAATCTCTGAGTTTTGGTCTTTGTATGCTGGCTGTGAATCTAAAAGTGATTAAAGACAATTCCTCGATAATACTGCAAATAAGTGAAAAGGATGATTGTCTTGCGGCGGCTAATAGGACATCACATGAGAATTTAATCTGTTCTGTATCTACTTATTCCGGTAGAAAGAAGTGAAATCAATGGCGGTTCTTAAGCGGTATGCAACTGAGATGCCCGATACGGCTTCAACAAAATAGTCCTGTGGCTAAAGTTTAACACCATCAGGTAAAGTAATAACAACCAGGTGTGGACGGTTAAGATTAATTTATCCTCCAAACATTTGCCTCGAGCAAAGGAAATCTTCTTACAAATATAAGTGATTGGTGGATATTTATATAAGAATCTATTGTCAATAAGATCGATATCATGATGTAGAAAAAGTGAATCTGTTAAATGCATTTATATTTAATAATAATAATGCTTTGTAAACAAACATTTATGTATATTAATTTATGTTCCTAGTGGTGTCTAATTCATTAACTCAGTTTGATGTCATTGTTAATTTTATAGATTTTAAAAGAGTTTGTGTGATAGGTATAGAAAAGTAATTACAGGAATAATATTAATAAAAGCAAACTTATCACTTTTCTGTCAAAGTGGCATGAACTATATTGTTCAATAATTACAGTAATGTCGCACTTATTATCCAAAAGTCGCACTTGGATCAGTTATTTTAATTTCGATAAACGTGCAATCAATTTACAAATTCATGAATTATTCACACAGAAAATTTACCAGTAAAAAATTCGCTTATCACCATATTTGTACAAGAACGCACAACTGTAAAAATTTAAAATCAAACTCAGCGTTGCTACTGCACGCTCCAAAAACAATAACTCATTTCCAATAGCATTTTCGGATACAACAATACATATATTTTCGTTGTCCTCTTATTACTGAGAGAAAAAAACAAGAACAACATCTATTCCATACCTGAAGATGTCTGTAGGAACAGACGAACGCTTGTAATAAAAATAAGAACTAATGCAGCAGAAATTTATAGAAACAAGGATCTTATCATTCATAACAGGTTCGGAAGTCTTTGTATATTATTTGAATTGTTTGCGACGATGGATTTCTCGACAATTAAATCATTAACCTTTGCATTTGGTTTTTGTGAATAATTCATGAATATATATATATATATATATATATATATATATATATATAAAAATATATATATATATATATATATATATATATATATATATATATATATATATAGATATAGATATAGATATATTAATGTATATTTACAAAGTAATTATTCTTTTAAACATATATTTTGTTACATATGAAATACAAGGAAATTATCTAATTAATATTTTATTTCGCCTTTACAGCGATCTTATATTTTCTGTAGGGGAGTATAAAATTTTCTATAGTGTCCATTTTCGCAGCTGCGCTATGAATATTTTCTCTTCTAAATTATGAAAAAATGGAAATAACAATGTCATCATATTTTAGCACATAATTACCAAAATTATCCAAAAATATCTTCAAATACGCAAGAGAACATTTATTCAAGATAATCGCCATTGTCTTCAACCAGGGAACCCAGACGACTTCGGAATATTCTGGAAATCTTCTGTACGATATCCTTGTTTAAGTTGTTGAATACTGCTTAATCCTCGTATTCAATTCTTGTTACTTGTTAAAATAGTTTCGTTGTTCTATCGATCAACTGCGCCTAAACATAATAATCAAGGAGGTTGCAGTCTGGAGAGTTAGGTGACCATATATAAGCGGTGATGAGGTCGCAGAAATTGGGTGACAGCCATAACTGGATTCACTTGTGTGGCATGGTACAGGGTCACTTATCGAGACAAATGGATTTCCAGCAGGTACAATCTTAACACATAGCAGCACTACATCTTCAAGACACTTGATGTAGGCCTCCTGTTGAGTTCAGACACAACAGGAGGCCTACAGGAGGCCTCACCAACAAATGTCGGCCAACTAACCGTATTATTCTGTGTAATTATCAAAAATTGAAAATCACGCGCATGCGCGAAATTAAAAATATAAAATATTAACAGTTTACCCATTACACTCTCTATGTACGAGTCACGGTGACTTGTGTAAAAAATGAGATCGACATGCCATGCTCAAATTCTTTTCGAGGAATCTGGTGTGTTTTCTTCACAGATACACTTGGTAAGGAATGAATTTCATCTGTTTACTCTGTATCTATGGATTAATAATTAAAATGTATTTATTTCAAATGTCCTTATTTCATTGAGGAGATAAGACAATACTAGCATGACAACGCAAAAACACACATACATGGTGTTAAACCCTGTGTCCACTTTTATTTTTACATTCAGCCTATTTAAATCCATGCACACACACACACACACATATATATATATATGTATATATATATATATATATATATATATATATATATATATATAT